GGAGATTATATAATCCGGCGGTAGTACAAAGTATATATAACCTGCACGGACATATCCAAATGATTAAGCGATTCTAGTGCCTACTCAAAGACTCACATTTTTATATTTGTTTCTACTATAATCTAACTCGTATCTGCTCATAATCTTGAAAGGTTATGAGCCCTGTTCATATCGCAAAATGAACCTCACAAACAAAGAATAATCAAAACACGCTGCGCAAATACTCCTATTCAAAATGACTGATCCTAATAACCCTAATCCAAGCATGGATGTTGATGCTCATGCTTCCTTGTGTCCTGCAATAAATCTTGGACCTGTCATGTCATATAAAATTGAAGCCCTAAATGATGTTAACTGGATTACGTGGAAGGAAAGGATTGAAACGATTCTTAATCTTCATGGAGTCCATGGGCATATTGATGGGACCTGTAAAAGGCCCACAACAGACAAAGGCGAGATAGCATACTGGGATAAACAGGACTATGTAGCTCGGACACTCATCTTGAACAATATCAAGGATGATAAAGTAGTCCATGTGTCACGAGCAAAGACCATAAAGGAAGCATGGGAGAACCTAAAAACAATCCATGAGATGAGGAGTCAATCAAGTGTGTTAATGGCCAAACACACCTTTTATGCTATGCAAGTCGAAGAAGGCTGTGATATTACAGAACATGTTACAGAGATGGTGAATAAGCGCAACCAACTCAACACCATGGGGTGCGAGATACAAATGCAGAGTTCAAAGCCATTCTTGTCATGTCGTTACCGAAATCCTGGGGAACTTGGACTGCATCCTATTTAGGGGCGCATGCCGAGAAAATTGAATCTGATAAAATCAAAGGATATACTTCCCAGGAGTTAATCTCCATCATCATCGATGAGTATAAATGTTGCAGGGGTGAGGACACCCAAGAAAAGGTGTTCTATGCCAAAACAGAGAAGAGCAGAAAGAAGCGAAAGATCGAGAAGCATGTTGAGATGCCTAAGAGCCGAGTGAAGTGTAACATCTGCAGATGAAACAATCACTCCACAGATGATTGTCGGTTCAAGGGCTGTCATGAGTACCTTTAACAAACCATTATTCTTTCTTGAATCTTCCTAAGTGCCAATACACAACACGTAAGTCCAACCCTAACCCTTCAGTGAAAATGTCTACCACCTCGGAAATCCCTTTAGCACCCACAACACGTGTCTTCGATGTGACTGATGAAGAAGATGAGTTCTTTGATTGTGAATAGATTAGATTAGATACAATAAGATAAGATATGGTCACGTGATACTTCTTTAATATTCTACGATGTTCTATGGTACAATTCTCTTTTCCTTTTTATGATTGGCTAGTAGTTGTATCTCAGTTTCAATCTCAGTTTCAATAGTTGTATATAGGTAGCATGTCTTGGTCGATAGTTCCTTAGTTCAAACCTCTTGTATCTACATCATTGTAGCAATCCAAGACGTCCTTGATCATTCCTCTTTGTTGTGATAACCTTAGTCCGAGTCCTAGTCTCTGCCCAGTGTTAATTCATTATTGGGTTGTGACAAGGGCAAACCGAAGTGCACATCTTGTGGGAAGTTCGGACACGAGACTAAAGTCTGTTGGGGGAAAGCGGGACAATCATCCCAAAAGCCACATCAGCAGAAAGAGTGTGCCAATATTGCGAGAGACCTGCAGGAAGACGAGCCTATGGAAGAGGATCAGGCTTATGTAACCAAAAATGTATCTGTGAATGAAGATGCCAATGAGCGTGTTTCCTTTTACTCATGGGTGGCTGATACAGCCACTACTTCACATATTGTAAGACAAAGAACCACGTTTGAAGAGTACCATCCAATGAATGGAGGGACCATAAATGGAATCAGCAATGTGCCAGTCAAAGCACTAGGCCGTGGATCTGTAAAGATAAAAACACGAGTCAAAGACAAACAAATCATTGTGCAATTGAGAGATGTACTGCATGTACCAACAGCAGTGAATAATCTCATATCAATAAGTCGACTCAATGAGCAAGGGGGAAGAGCCCGATTTGACAATGGACAAGTCACATTGCTCAATCAGAACTGATGCGCTATAGCAACAGGACACTGAATTAATAGGCTATATATCCTAGATGCTGAAACTATTCAGCCCCAAATTGAGTCAACATATAAAGCTAAAGACTCACTTACTTGGGAAGAATGGCATAAGCGCTATGGACATATAGGTGTCACTGGACTACAGCGCCTAATAAAACAACAGTTAGTAGATGGCTTTGACGTAAATCAAAGTTCACCTATTCCAGAGTGCAAAGCGTGCATACAAGCCAAACACTCTCGAAATCTGTTTCCTAATAAAGCTGAAAAATAGAGCTGAAATACCAGGTGAACAAACACATACAGATGTTTGGGGACCAGCTCGAACAACAGCTATAACGGGTGCAAAATATTATATTAGTTTTATTGATGACTGCACGAGAAGGTGTGTCATCAAATATATGAAATCAAAAGATGAAACCACCGAAAAGGTGAAAGAATACCTATCCTATATTGAAAGACACTGGGACAAACTCCCAAAATGTATTTGCACCAATAATGGTACAGAATATATCAATAATGCGCTAAAGACTTGGTGTCAACAAAAAGGGATAGAATTAGAAACTACTGCACCATATTCCCCCTCACAAAATGGTGTAGCAGAACACTTCAATAGAACATTAATAGAGTTAGCATGAGCAATGCTAATAGCTCATAACTTACCAAAGTTCCTATGGCCCGAAGCAGTGACTCATGCTGCATATTTGCGCAATCGAGCGCATACACGAGCACTCAAAGAGTATACACCTGAAGAAAAGTGGTCAGGAACACGACTGAATGTATCTCACCTACAGGAATTTGGTGTATCTGTATGGATATTAAGAGATGGTCAGAATATATCAAAACTTGAAGCAAAATCAGAATAACATACATTTGTTGGCTTCCTAGACGGGCCAAAAACCATCAAATATTATGATGCATGCACAAAACAAGTAAAATCATCACGAAATTATTGCTTCCTACAACATAAACCTGAAGAAAAAGTCACATCAGATATACGGTGTGAGGGGGAGCAGGAAGAGATTGACAGACCTCAATCTGATGAAGATAAAGGAAGATTAGATGGCAGGCAGACCAGTAAAACTGGTCAATCAAGTGTTAATCTCAAATGAAAGTGAGAACAGGACAAAAATGTACCTGAAGAACCAAGAAGAAGCACCAGAACAAAGATAAAGCACGAGTATCAAGTGCTAAATGACCCACCACTAAAATTAGCTGAACTAATTGATAATACAGACGAAGAAGGGATTACATCATCAGCAGCAGAAATGATATTTTCCACGTTCAATGAGAGTGGTATTGCGCTGGATGATCCAAAGTTGCTAAAGGAAGCGAAGACATCCCCAGATTGGCCACAGTGGGAAAAGGCTGTGAAAACTGAATTAGAACAACTTGAGAATATGGGAACCTGGGAGTTAGTGGATCCTCCCAAAGAACGAAAACCCATAGGAAACAAGTGGGTTCTAGTATGGAAATTCAATAAACAAGGGGAGCTCGTTAAACACAAAGTGCGACTGGTAGCTAAAGGATACTCACAAATACCGGGAATGGACGATGATGACACGTTCTCACCCATCATACGTCTTGAGATGATTCGCGCAATACTAGCATTAGCTGTATCAGAAGATTAGGATATACAGCAAATGGACATGAAAGGGGCTTACCTAAATGGTATCCTTAAAGAAGAAGTATACATGAAGCAACCAGAAGGATTTGAAGATGGAACATTGAGAGTCTTCTATCTAATAAAAACATTGTATGGCCTTAAACAATCAGGTTGTGAGTGGAATATTGAGCTGAATAAACAGCTTGAGGCCAAGGGATTTAGTAAACTGTATAGCGATCCATGCACATACATCAGAAAAATGGGAGACAGAATTGAGATAATTACTGTATGGGTCGATGACCTACTCCTGTTTACAAATAGTACAATGCTGATGAACAAACTTAAATGTGAGTTACAAACAATGTTTGAAATCACTGACCTTGGTGATCCAAACAAAATCGTCACATATTACAGTGACATATTTCCATATTATACGGGTCACCCGACCTACATAATATCCCATATAAGATGGGCCAGCAGACTATGGGCTGATGTTATGTATATCCCCGATGTTGACAGATGGGCCAGAAGGGATATTATTTCCAATGGAGATGGGTGGGCCCATCTATGCTGATATTATATATATCCTCGAAGATGTCGGGTGGGCTGATGTAATGGTTTATTGTATAGATGGGTGGGCCAACGTACAGGGATTATTTTGTACACGGGTGGGCCGAGGGAGCGGTGGAATATATATTATATAGATGGGTGGGCTGATGTAAGGGTTTATTGTATAGACGGGTGGGCTGACATACTGGAATTATTTTGTAGACGGATGGGCTGAGGGAGTGGTGGAATATTCATTATATAGATGGGTGGGCCAATGAAGGGGGATGTTATATAGACAGGTGGGCCAATGGAGGGGGATGTTATATAGATGGGTGGGCCGAGGTAGTGAGATATCTGTCTGAAATTCACAGATTAATGAGTCCCAGATGCCCAAAAACCAAATCCCATTGTGCAACATCCATTCCAGACACCCGAACACCCGAAGCTCGAGACTGGAAACTGGAAACTTGTGAAATGTGTGAAATTTCTATTTCCTTACACCAAACACATGAACACCTGAACACCCAAAGCCTGAAGCTTGAAAGTCCATTTATCAAATCACCAAGGGTCGAGTGCTGATAAACCCGAAGCCTGAGACCCAAAATCCGAAGCCCGGAACCCAAAAACATGTATGCAAAATGTCCATTTTTCATTCATTGCACAAATCACTGAGTGTCAAGTGCCACAATCCGAAACTCGAGACCCAGTACACAAATCACCAAGTACCAAGTGCCGAGGGCCAAACCCCAAAGTCCAAGGCCCAAAACCTGAAGTCCAAAACCTGAAAACATGTATACAACATATCAATATTTCACTCATTGCACAAATCACCGAGTGTTGAGTGCCAAAACCTGAAACTCAAGACACAGTACACAAATCACCAAGTGCCAAGGCCCAAAACCCAAAGCCTGAAACCCAAAAATATGTATACAACATATCAATATTTCACTCATTGCACAAATCACCGAGTGTTGAGTGCCAAAACCCGAAACTTGAGACCCAGTACACAAATCACCAAGTGCTGAGTGCTGAGTGCTGAGGCCTGACATTGAAAGCCTGAAACCCGAAGCCTGAAACTCAAAAACATGTATGCAATATTTCCATTTTTTACTCATTGCACAAATCACCGAGTGTTGAGTGCTAAAACCTGAAACTCAAAACCCAGTGTGCAACATGTCCATTTTTCACTCATTGCATAAAACACCAAGTGTCAAATGCTGAAACCCGAAAGTCAAAACCTGGTGTGCAACATGCCCATTTTTCATTTACATTAAACAAATCATTGGGTGCCGAGTGCTGAGGCCTGAAACCCAAAAACATGTATGCAACATGTTCATTTTTCATTTATGGCACAAATCACTGAGTGTCGAGTGCTGAAACACAATACCCAGTGCTACAAATGGACATGAATTCTGTATTTGTATGTATTATCCATTGATGTAGGGTTCAAACAACTTGGGGATTGTATTGACTACTGAGTGTCGGTACTTCGGACTCAGGACTCACTAGCCAATATAGGCAAAGATAATGAAAAAATGGAAGTTGTTGTCTGAGTCTAGGTGAGTGTATTAGTAGTCTTTTCTTGTCTATCGGTTATCATTTGACCAAGATATAAGCTAAAGAAATCTGAAATGTTGGTGAGAATGAAAAATGAAAGTTATTTTTATGCTTAACTTCCCTTAATGAAAGTTGTAGTCCAAGTCAAGGTGAGTGTATTGGTAGTCTTTTCTTGTCAATTGGTTATTTCATTAGTCAGTACTCAGTACTTAGAAATCAGTACTCAGTACTTGGTTCTGATACTCGGTACCTGGTGTAATGATAGTTGCGGCACTGGGCTCAAAACCTGTGTTTTTGATACTCACATTAAACAGTATTTGTCCGACGCATCCCTGACATTCCGATCCTGATCCCGACACCCAACCCCAACCCGAAAGTTTTGAACCCAATGTTTTTGCATCGGACTCATCCTTCCTATGTCCTGTCTAGTCGTATCTATCCCCACTGGTGCATATTTACTTGTTTTCGCATTATTGAATATTACAGACAGTGTTATTACATGTAAGCATAGACCACTGCACTTTTGACATTTTTCACGATTTTCAGTATCTTACCCTTGCATCCATGATCCAACCTTTTAATACATAATGAGCATAGCTTATATTATTGCCTCTTATGACCAAGATCAGCTCACAATAGGCTGGAGTTTGTGAGCTAGTGTGCATACTTGCCATTTCTCCTGATAAGGGGCCCATACCTTCAAAACATTGAATCTTCATGATCAGAAACCTGGAGTACATTTAAAATATATTAAGTATCATAGACATAAATTTACAGACAAATCCACCAAGAATTGAGTACTGAGGAAGTGAAATAGATAAGAAATGAAGTGTGGGAAACTTCAAAGACCCAAAGCATCGAAAATGGTCAGTGAAGCAATAATAGGACTTTAATGCTGAGTCAACTCATGTTTTCACTATATCCCTTCCACTGTCACAACCCAATAACGAATTAACGCTGGGCAGAGACTAGGACTCAAACGAAGGTTATCGGACGAAGAGAAAGATGAGCAAGTACGTCTTGGATTGCTACAGTTGTAGATACAAGAGGTTTGAACTAAAGAACTATCGACCAAGACATGCTAACTATATACAATTATTGAAAAGGAGATTGAAACTGAGTTACAACTACTAGCCAATCATAAAATAGGAAAGGGAATCGTACCATAGAACATCGTAGAATATTAAAGAAGTATCACGTGACCATACCTTATCTTATCGTATCTTATTTAATCTAATCACAATCAAAGAACTCGTCTTCTTCATCAGTCACATCGAAGA